CATTGAGCTTAAGAATAGATACGGTAAGAGGTAACCCATTTTCTTATCATTGAGCTTAAGAATAGATACGGTAAGAGGTAACCCATTTTCTTATCATTGAGCTTAAGAATAGATACGGTAAGAGGTAACCCATTTTCTTATCATTGAGCTTAAGAATAGATACGGTAAGAGGTAACCCATTTTCTTATCATTGAGCTTAAGAATAGATACGGTAAGAGGTAACCCATTTTCTTATCATTGAGCTTAAGAATAGATACGGTAAGAGGTAACCCATTTTCTTATCATTGAGCTTAAGAATAGATACGGTAAGAGGTAACCCATTTTCTTATCATTGAGCTTAAGAATAGATACGGTAAGAGGTAACCCATTTTCTTATCATTGAGCTTAAGAATAGATACGATAAGAGGTAACCCATTTTAAATTGGGGGAGCTAGAGGATTTTCGAGATCTTTTACAGACTCCAAGGAAGAATAAAAATTTCTCTTGACAGAAGTTAAAAAAAAACACTTCATATTTGAAACAAAAAAATAATTCAGACATGTCCTCAGAAAAAAAATGCAATTGATCAATTTTCTCCAGCACCCCACCCGAGATTTCAAAAAAGTCACCCCTAACTGCAAAAATCTGAATTCTTGTCATTCATCTGATGACTCATTTCACTCAGCAAAGAGCAAATAAAAAGAACTTGTTTCCATGGAAACAATGACTTTGTAAATTCCCAATTTATGTTCCATCCTTTTGATAAATTGAGGTTCATAGTTCAAAAATTAGCCTAGTTTCTTTCTTTTCTAGACAGTCTGATAGATATTCGTGTTTTGAATATTCTAGAAATAATTTGAAGAAATGTGTTGGCATCACTCATATCAGTACAGTTTTGCATAGTTGTGTGCGCAAATATCTCCATTTTCTGTTAACCTTGATCCATCAGGGTATGAATAATAATCAGCATGCTGATATTGGCATTTAATTAATTATTTTATGTAATGTGTACAAAAACAGAGTCCAAATCTCGTTGCTGACCATTGTGGATATCAGTACACATAACAAATTTTAGGAAAGTGCAGAAAAGAATGTTTATTTTATCTGTATTGTGTGTGTGATGAGCAAGTATGGTTTTCATTTTTTTATAATGTAACTACATTACATGACAGTTTCATTAACTGAAGTAATTTAAAAACAAATTCTGAGAATTTTTTTAATTGAACAGGTCAAGCTCCATAATCAACCTTCAGAAATATTACAATCTAAAGAACAATTTTGTTCAATATTAAACAACATCATAACCCATAACAAGTCAATTGTATTTTTATATTAATGTAAGTGACCTCTGACAGAATTATTTTGGTAAAATACCCCATGTTTTGCCTGCTGTTGAATACATGCATGGTGTTTGAGTGAGCAGTTTGATCTTTTAATTGTAAATGTAACCAGAATACAATTAAGTAACACCATGGGGAAGTCTGGAACATCAATGAAATTTGCACAGCGCCCTCAATTTGTTGCATTGTCACTGCATTCCACACACATTGGCAATGTGGAGCTACTTAAACTTCTGAATGACTGGCTTGCCACAACACTTGGGGATTATTTATCATTACATTTCAGCTGGGAAGGGCTTTCACACACTTTTACAATGTTAACCATATCTGAAGCACCTACAATTATTTTCATGTTCCATGCATGTTGCACTTTATTCAACAAAGTACTCTGGTCAACAAAAACTCCACAGCAAAAAATCAATTATCTAAAAGTATACATTCCTTTGCAGTAGCATTTCTTCACCCCATTTGATCAGAGACTATCCTGCCCAAGATGAGTTTGTGTTAACCTTAGATGCAAATAGCTGTTAGGGTCTCATTTCCAGTGAGAGCCACCATTCCCTTCCCTTCTGATCAAGTCCAGTTTTTGGTAACATGGATCAGTCAAAGAGTAGACACGATAAAAGAATATGCCGTCACATGGTCGTCTCACTTTCAATTTATTCTTGGAGGTTACTTGCATTTAAGGCTATTTGGAAATAATATTTTGACTTGGGTGTACTGATATACTTCAGGGGAAATCTGAAAGAGCATAAACAACTAAACCAGTACACACATCTAACACCAGATAAATTAAAATAAATGAACATTACTTGCAATAAAGAATGGGAAATCAACACTGTGGGAGGATGCACAACTGTAGAATAAAGTGAATTCCCGAGAGTTAGTGACCATCTATTTGCCAACAATATTGGACATTCCAGCAGACATTCTAGGAATGTTTGCAGTTCACATTTCAAAGGTTCAATTACAACGCATGGTCATGTTGTATTAGTTCCTGTACTGGCTGGCTATCAGGTTAGACAGCTCAAATATATTGACCAAATACTTTATAGTGTAGCAACAAGCCAGATGTGCAATAGTACCTGCATTAACAAGTACGGTCTCTTCACATGGATTCATCCACTTACTGAGTAGAGGTGGCACTCATCAGTTGAGGGTGCACATCACACAAAATTACACTGTACATTGATAAGTTTAAATCATATATATTACAACAAAATTTAAGTCAGAACAGTCTGATTAATTGTTGTTTCGCAACAAATTTTTACAAGCGAAATTTTCTCTTGAACTCCAGTTCTTACAAATAGAAGCTATATTACAAAGCAATTGCATTTTTGTCAAGTTTTCTGTTAAAACTCTTTAGTAAATTTACATTGTACTCCATGTGGCTGTTCTACCACGACAAGCTGTCCCATACAGCCAAATATTCCCTACTTTGGCTTTAAATGGATGTTTTGTGCACCAGCAATGTGGGAAGTTATAATAATTGTGTCTAGTAGTTTTACAACACCTGATTCATAGTTTGAAGTTTCATTGTTTCTTTCTTTCTTTCTTTCATACAGTACACCCAGTCTCTTATTTGAGTCTATAGGGATACTATTATGAATAATGCTATCTCAACTGTTAGTAATTGTTGACAGTACTGGGAATGCCTGCAACACAGACAATATGTGATGTGATACAGAATTCCAAAACCATGTTACATTACATGTATACTTAATAATAATTGTTTTTTTAAACAGTGCAGGTTTTTTTCTGCATTCTTCATTCTATGCCAGTGTCTGATGCTATATATAGTATACTAGAATGAAACTAAATCCTGTACAACCAGGACAAAAACGAGTGTACTAGTTGGTTTCCATGGATTTGCATCCTCCTTTAAGAGAAGAATTGACTATCATCAGACATGCACATATCAGGCACCATCTGATCCAGAGGTTTGTTGCGATCAGCACGGCTCTGATTAGACAAGTGATACGTTGCATGGAACCACGGATGATCCAGTACTTCCCTCGCTGTTAGCCGAACTGCTGGATCACGCTGCATAATACTGCGAGCCAAACACCGAGCTTTTGAAGACTGTGACTCTGGCATAGAGAACTTGCCACGACGAATCTTGTTGAAAAGAGCCCCAGGCTCTGTATCGTGGAATGGATAACGCCCAACCAGCATAGTATACAGCATGACGCCCAAACTCCAGACGTCCGCAGATCTACCAGAATAGGAGCAATTGGCATTAAGGATCTCTGGACTGACGTATGCGGGGCAACCATGTTTATCAGTTAACGAATCATCATCATTGTCCAATACATAAGTGTCTTCCAAACTTTCTAATTTTAACGATGTTCTGAAAGTAAAACAAAATGTTGTGATTAATCTAGAGGGAAAAAAACCAAACAAAATTGCATCATATTAAGTCGTATGATATACGTTGCATGAATACACATAATTTTGTTCTTATCAATACTGTTATCATGTGACAAGCCATCAGCGATAACATGATGCAAGAAATCAAGGTACTGTCTTGTTTACAAACACAGGCCAAAACATTGCATCAGCAAATATCATGTGAGCTGCTGACCCAGTAATTGCATCAGCAAAAAATAAATCACATGATAACCAAAGTTTGACCTCTATTACATGACCTTTTGGAACGCAATAGTAGTGAACAAGAGATGCGTGTTTAAACATCAATAAACACTTTGTCCAACCTACGCAATAAACAAAACAACCTCCTTTACATGTTTTAACTTTTTACAATTTCCGGAATGACTTCATTTTGAAACTACGTACCCACATCACATCCTGTCCCCCACCTTTTCTTGTAAGGTTGCTCAATATAGTTTCAGTGTTTGGAATTATTTTACATTTCGAGAATAGACATGCGAGATAGATATACAATTTCATTTGTAAAAAAAAAATCCAGGGTACGGTAAGATAAATGTGATATTACTCTATCTTAATAACCCAGTTGATACATCTGACTATACAAGGGAAGAATCTGTTCAATTAGAAAAAAATCTTCTTTAAATTTGAAGTAATAAAACAATGCATCTGGAGATACATTTTGAAAAAAATAAATGTTTTTCTCTATGCTAACATATACATATGCTATGTGGGCGATGCATTCTCATGTGAAAACTCCTGCGAATCTACTTCAAACCCAAAATGTTCATGGAAATTGTATTGAGCAATCTTAACAAAATGTATCATAGCTTGAGAAATGGGAATTCAGAAAACTGGGAAACTAATTTCATATTAAATATTGGGATTAATACAATCCGGATAATAATCTTCTATTTTTATATATTCATATTCAATCTAAAACGTGTACATTTTAGGAACCAAGACGAAGTACAATGGAAACGTTTTTTGGTTTCTGAAGGCCAGCGGAAGTGATTTGTGAATCTGATTATTTCCAATTTGCATAACAATTGAATTCCAAATCAATTTCTGATCATCCCACTTCTTACCATATCCTTTTATGCTGTATTTATTAAAATCTTAAGGGTACCTCAACTTTTATTAACCTTGAATTTTAGTGCCTAAAATAAACTCCATACTAAGGTATTAAATAAATCCCTGACACTGATGTTTTCTCGTTCAATAACTTCAGTTCGTCAGCATGTAATGAAAGAGCACATATTGCATCAAATTGCAATTCACTCCTAATTATTACCATGGTAACCTTTAGATTAATTGACTGGCTTTCACATCCCAATTAACAACTTCCTTCCTCCATACATACAATATAAATGTCTTCCTTTGACATTTAATTGAAGAAAATTAAACACTGGCAATTAATATAGGGGAAACAGTCAATTTAGTCTTTTCATAGATTTTAAATGCAATCCATTGTCTTATTAACTTTCGTATTATAGCTCATGGAAATCTCACCACAGGGGATTACATCAGATTTCCTGCATCAGGAAATGCATGCCTCATGGGAGAATACCATGGAAACCGATTCTCTCTTCATCAACCCCCCCCCCCTCCCTGCTTGAAATAATTTTCTAATGGCAAGCAAATATGTCACAATTTCTCATAAAAATTATCAAAGTTGTAACTCATAGCACAACAAAGGTATTCCCTCATCTTTATAAATATTTAAAATTTTCACAATTCAAATTGAAACAAGGTTTCTATTAAACAATTGAATAACACTGAATTCAACTGCCATTAAAATTTATAAAGAAGGAAATGCCTTTGTTGTGCTGGGAGTATGATAACATAAATATGCATTCAATTATTTTTTTTAAACAGACCACCTAAGTTACACTCAAATTCTTACCTCTCTTTGTCTTTGAAAACAAACTTGCGCAATTTCAAGTCACGGAGGACGATACCAGATTCATGACAATGGGCAACTGCTGATGCGATTTGATAGAACAACCGACTAGCCTCCTCTTCCTTGATTCTGCGTTTGCTGCGCACATAGGAGTGCATGTCACCATAACTCCATTCAAAGAATACGTATGCATAGGTATCCCCAAGAAGGATTTCCACAATGTGGTTAATGTTCTCATGTTGTTCAAGTCGGAAATAAGCTGCTAGAGACTCTTGGTATCTACTAACTTCAAAAACCTACAAGAGGAAAAACGGATCAAGATATATGAACATTTATGCAGTACAGTTAAGAATGTTGACAATTAACAAACATTAATCCACAACCCTGCTGGTTCTTGATTTTTTAATTAGTTTATACAAGCTACCAGTCTTGCTGTGCTAGCAGTCTGCATACAGCTGTTTACTTTAAAACTTCCTGAAATAGGATAGAACATTTTGAATTTCTAGAATGAGCCACTACAAAGCATTTCCAAAACCACACAAAATGCAAAGCCCAGGGTCAAAAAACAATAGATCTCTCTGTAGAAACTCCCGCCAAATTCAGGAGCATTTCAAAACAAAGAAATGAATTGTTTTGCAGACCAACAACGTTAAATATTTTTTTATTTTTTGTCTACCACCGTACATATACGACTTTGCTAGAATGTTCTTTTTTTTAGAAATTTAATTCAATTGTAATGAATACGAAATGGATGATTCATCCATCCTTCCACGGTTTAAACAAAGAACATTTCAATATGTACTAAAAAAACTTCCCCATCTTACTAATTACATTTACTGGACTAAGTTTTTTCTATATTAAATTTGATTTGCAAATGCAGATATCAATGTCAAATTCGTGGCATATGTTATCCACTTGGCAATCCCTCTGTATTGGTGAATTGTGACATTGAGCTCAATCCACGTGATGGAGACAAAAGGTTGATTTCACAACTACGAAAAAGAATTAGTCACTCCAGTCAAATGATTTGCACTATATTGCACCAGGTTTAATCTTGCCAACATTCTTTTGCTGTTACGAAATTTCAAAAACTGTTCCTTGCAATAAATTGCATCACTAAGTATGGAGCATGGTTCGATCGTTACCAAGTGAAATAAAAACGCCCAGACAACACAAGTGTGATGAACTTTACTCTGGATCAGGCGATGCTCAATAAAAACAACAGAGTTCAGTTCACGTTGATTAGATGAATATGTTTCATCTTACACATATCTTATTGAAAAGCACATAAAAATCCCGATTTTCATAAATACATTTCGAAAGAAACAAGTCGTACATCTATGATCTAGTATAACAACATGGCAAAACGTGTTACTCCTTTGTTTTCAAACTTACCTTACAAAGAAATACACCCTGAGTCAAAGTATCGATGGATTTATATTGATTTTTCTCCAGTTGCTCCACCAATATGTATCTTCCAATTTTGGAAATGACATGAGTACAGTCATTCTCAGTGAACTGGGGAGGGCTGTTAGCCTGTAAATTCGGACTTATGGAATTAAAAGTTAAATCGGGTGGTGAGTCGTATGGCACGAAGTGTTTTGGTCCATGTTGAATTTGGATAGGGGTTGAACGCTGGATGTTCATCTAAAATTAAAACCCTTCCAAAATTCGACAAAGTTTTCTGGTTCCCGAGTTCTTGAATGTAAATATTTCCGTTGACAACTTACTGTTGCAGACGATAATACTGTGTAATGACGTATGTTCTTGCAAGAAATATAAAGTCACTTAAAAACGAAGTATGTCAGGTGAAGTTTTCACGTTGGTAGGAGTAACCAAGAATTCCTCTTCGACGTAAAGAGAAAATTACTAGATTACACAGCTGAGAATCGCACGTACTTGTGGTGACACGAGGTTGCGAAATATCCAACGGATGCACACTGCTGTCAACATCCAAGTATGGCGCAGATAAAATTATTTCAAAAGCACGCGATGTAAGAAAAAGAATGAAAATAGTTCGATTTTTGGCAGACCAACCAAGATTCTGGCTGAGCAGTTCAGGGTTTATAACAGCGCACAACTGTCGATCCGTCTGCCTTTTCTTAAATCGGGTAAACTCGTTCAGACGAACGCAACCACTCCGTTGCAAGTTGGTGACGCAAACCTGTACTGTGCGGTCGTTGGACGGACGGATGAGGATTCCCTTGGTCGATCGCCGCACGTAGCCTGTTGTCGACCCAGTCTTTAAACGTTACCACACGCTGATCACTTCCAAACTCCTTCGGATGTTTCTTTATACCTTCCTCCCAATTTATGTGCGCTGTTCCCACTGCAGGATAGCCAGGGTCTATGGCCGATCCTGCCTAAAAGCAGGGGGACGGTTTTACACTACCGGTGTTTGCCATTGTGCAACGTGGCTACACTATGCAGTACAGCTACTACGAACGTTAGCCTATCCACACCTAGACACCAACAAATCAACGCGCAGCTGTGATGCGTCTTTAAAATTTCCACTGCAAAAAATATTTCACAATCGTAGCTCGGTTGCAGTATTCAAAATAAAATTTCAAATAATAGCTTGTCAAATGTAGCCAAGTTGTACAAGTTCAGTCTCCTAGGCGCAACTTCAATTTTTAGGAGGGATTCCCTAGAACTAGTTTGTTTACAGTGTATGTAGAGACCAGTTTTCGGCGGTAGAGAAGGGTGATTGCAACATCTACATTTCTGGTCATGTGAATTTGATGACGCAACTCACTGGATTTATATGAGTCAACTCTGCTCCATATAAGGATAATATACCTTCGTCACAAAGCATTTAGCCATATAAGGAAGATACATGCCCATATATAAAAATATAGTGCCACTCAACTTCGTTGATGTCAGACACGTCATCGATTCGGTTGGAATGGCGCTAAAGGTTTCCACCAATCACCAGTATCCACACATATTGAAAGAAAATGCATTTCCGGGGCCTCTCTCCGGATCATAGTGGAGGCTCGAGGAGACCTCGGGTTTTACAGACTAGTCGATTTCAGGCAAACGTATGACAATGGGTCAAGGATGGCCAGGCAAACACAGGGGCTGTCACGTTTGCGTTCATATTTGAAGTTATTTTTTTAAGGGTTTAGATACATTACATTTTTTATTTATTTCGCGTCGCCTTGACGCCTTTGTCCAATCAGATATATGTACTGATATTTCTGTGACGAAAATAGAATGGCGTTTATGGTATGGTCACGACTTGAAGGCAATCAACCATTATACCTCGGGGCTTAGAGCTTCCTATCAAACAAGAATACGTTCTCTATAATTTAGAATAACTCTCTGTATTATGGGAGTTTTATTTATTTACTAGTTTTAATGATTTTTGCTTATTTAGTTTAATAATGAAGGAAAATGTGCGGTAAGACGAGGCACTAATTAATCTGAGTGTGGTGTAAATAATAATGTACGAACGTTTACCGAGTGTTTGTTTATGCCACTCTGTTTATGGGTGATACGTGTGTCGCTGTCAGACTTGAGTTCCGGGGTCGATTTGATAAAACAAATTTGGCTGTAGTGGGTAGGTGGGGTGTTATAAGGTAAAACATGTGTTCGTTTACAAGTATATAAAACTAGAGAGTTTTTCCATAAAATATTTGGATACCATGTTTCCCAGACAATAAACTACTTTTCTTTTCAAGCCACCGATATGGGGCCAAGAAGCTCCATGATATAGGAAATTGTGCACAGAATTGTTCCCTAAGTAATTGTCCCCTAGTTTAAATCATTGGGAACCGCCTGTCCGTAGTGTGTGTTTTTGAACGACACAATTTGACATGAAGCTGAACATACACCATTTTTTTGAGCTTGGCGACTATTTACTGTAGAAATCGTACGCACGCCCGTAGCAGCTAATACGATTATACGGTGTTGTTTGTGTACCCTATGACCATCCACCCCACAGTATCCCTATAGACTATAGAAGGACTGTGCACACCCACACTTCACTGTTAAGACCGGGTATCACATGATACTGGTAATTTCATTTCCACCCGCATGTATGAGTACTGACAGAAATAGGCCCAGCACATATCTTCCTCATTTCACAACACACACGACGAACTCTGGTTCCGTGAGTTGTTTACACGACGAAATGACCTTTGCCGTGGATGACTAGATCCCCGGACTGGAATTGAACGTGATTCACCTATATAATACTAATAGGTCATGGTCCGTGCCAAGGAAACTACAATTTCAAAGGTGAACGTTTCGTAACAGCGGAAGTCACACTAATCGTCGTCGGAAGCAAGATAACACGTATCAACAACAACAAAACGTGCATCGTCCAACAAGAGGTGAATTTCGGTTACGTGACAACTGGAGTAAATTGAATTAACAGCTTGCACCGATCACAACAAAACTAATGTCATTATCGCCCTGTTTAGACTAGGTAGACGTGACACTTTGGTGTCAATTAGACTAGGACTTTTAGGCATATCAGATACACATCGAGTATTCACACCATGACACATTGCACAACCGGCAACGTGCCAGACACGTTCAAAATCGATTCAACCACCCTAACATAACGTGATTAAATCGTATGCAGTACGTGTGCATGGCCTTATACATGCACCATGGCGTAGTCCACGTCTTATCATGGCCCTATACCATGTTGTAGTCCATGTCATATCATGGCCCTCTACCATGATCAGGGGTACCAATGAAAGTGTAGCTTTTTAATGAAAATCACAGCTTTGACACCGTGCAGCATAGCTTGGTCAGGAAAAGCTTAACTGCAGGAATGGAATATGCTAGTTTTTGGTACTCACTAAAACGTCGAAGGACCTAACCTAAAGACCGAAGGACTTAAACGGGTGTAATGACTATAAAACCTGATATAAGTTACGTTGTTATACGTTGCATTTGTTCACAAATTATGCAGTAGCGAATAAATTTACAAATATACCTTGATAAATACAGTACATAAAAAATATAAAAGCGAAGCACCACAATTATAATATAAATATGAGCGAAGGACCTCGTTTTTATTGTAAATATGAGCGAATGACCATGATTACGTGGCTAATATGAGCGAAGGACCACGATTATATTATAAATATGAGCGAAGGACCACGATTATAATATAAATATGAGCGAAGGACCACGATATTATTATAAATATGAGCAAAGGACCACGATTATAATATAAATATGAGCGAAGGACCACGATTATATTATAAATATGAGCGAAGGACCATGATTACGTGACAAATATGAGCGAAGGACACGTTTATATTATAAATATGAGCGAAGGACCATGATTACGTGACAAATATGAGCGAAGGACCACGACTATAATATAAATATGAGCGAAGGACCACGATTATATTATAAATATGAGCAATGGACCACGATTATAATATAAATATGAGCAAAGGACCTCGATTATATTATAAATATGAGCGAAGGACCACGATTATAATATAAATATGAGCCAAGGACCACGATTATATTATAAATATGAGCAAAGGACCTCGAATATATTATAAATATGAGCGAAGGACCACGATTATATTATAAATATGAGCGAAGGACCATGATTACGTGACAAATATGAGCGAAGGACCACGTTTATATTATAAATATGAGCGAAGGACCATGATTACGTGACAAATATGAGCGAAGGACCACGATT